CAAACAGAACTGCTAGGTTACTTCTTTTGGCCAGCAACACCATAAAAAAAAAAAATAAAAAAATAAAAAAATAAACAAACCCAGAAACAACAAAAAAACCTACTAAGACAAAAAAGGGTAAACCAAGAACATTTGTGAACCTCTGTGTTATTAATTCCTTTATTTGGTAATTCCTACTCTAAACGTAAAAGTGAAAGCTGTTCTTAAAGATGGTATTTCTCCCAAGACTTAGCGCCTTTCTTCCAAGCAACTCCAACCTTCCTACACTCCCACTTTTGTGCATTCTTTTAAATATCTCCAAAGCAGATACAGTAATTTTTCTTCAGACAAATAAGACTCAAAAAAAAAAAAAAAAAAAAACAAATAAGACTTCAAACAAGGTCAACGTTCTCATCACCTCCAGTAGAGACAAATTTCAGAGCCTCTGGACTCCATTATCGTATGTCAAGAAGTGGCACAGGTTTTAACAGAAACAGTTTACATAATAAGACAGAACTACAGAGACATAGTTATTTCTTTGGAAATAAAAGAATCACTGGGAAATTATTCTTCCTTTCTGTAAAGTGGAAAAAATAACCTTTCTGTCAGAAATCCTGAGTTCCAATTCTATCTAGGACAACTCCTTATACTAATTAGCACTGTGTGAACTAGTATTTATGGAACTTAAATATATACTAAAAATTTTAAGAACACCTGTCTGTGACTTAGAGCCTTCCGTACACAAAGATAATTAAAATGCTGAGCTGGAAAGGACCCTGACAAATACTTTTTTAATAAAAAAGTATGACAACATGTGAAGATCAGCTACTGTACAGAAAATGCACTACAGCACATTATGGCTTTGGAATACAATATGGGGAAGAACATACTACTGCTCAAGGTAATGTGTAAAGTAATTGGCATCTTCCTGAAAAACCATAAGTTCAAAGGTGTCCTAGGGAAACAGAGAAGTCAACCTCAATTTAAAATCATTGTCAATCTACACAGCAGAAAATAAAGTTTACTACAACACATATTGTTTTTTTATGATAGTCACAGAGAGAGAGAGAGAGAGAGAGAGAGAGAGAGAGAGAGAGAGAGAGAGAGGCAGATACATAGGCAGAGGGAGAAGCAGGCTCCATGCACCGGGAGCCCGACGTGGGATTCGATCCCGGGTCTCCAGGATCGCGCCCTGGGCCAAAAGCAGGCGCTAAACCGCTGCGCCACCCAGGGATCCCCATATTGTATTTCTGTAACAGAATACACTAGGATCAACAATTTCCCATTTAGGAACTCAGAAAAAATATCTTAAGAATTTATGGGATGCCTGGGTGGCTCAACGATTGGGCGGCTGCCTTCGGGCTCAGGTCATAATCCTGGGATCCAGGATTGAGTCCCCCACAGGGCTCCTGCGAAGAGCGTGCTTCTCCCTCTGCCTAGGTCTCCGCCTCTCTCATGAATAAATAAATCTTAAAAAAAAAACAAAAACAAACTTTAAAAGCTAAACTGGTTCTAAACAGTCCGTATTACAAGAGTATTTTTCCTTGAAAAATGACATCCCTATCACTCAGGACTCCAAAATGATACAGCTTCAAGAAGACTGTGAAACAGAAAATACAATTAAACATGTGTATCTTAAGTAACAGTATATACTTGCCTGCACTGAACTGATTTGTCACTTCCAGTTTCAACTGCTTTCTAGTTAAAGTCTAACTAAGCATAGAAAAAAAAGAAGAAAATCCAGTTGCCAGGTTACAATGGTTCGGAAATCAACACTGAAAAAAAGCCATCCTCAGTTACTCTTAACTTCCAGAAATTAACCATATACCTTATGCTCATTATTATATTTTGGAGGCTAAAGAGTGATGATTTTATTTTGGGGGGCTCAATTCTACAAAGCTGTTGGTAAAGTATTAAAGATTTTAATCAATGTTTGAGATAATCACAGCACGTTTCTGGACAACTTAATTCAAGTACAAGACAACCCAAATAATGACTTCAAATAGCCCCAAACTAAACAAAACAGGGGCGTCTGGCTGGCTCAGTCAGAGTATGGGACTCCTGACCTCCAGGTCATGATGGTGTAGAGATTACTAAGAACAACAAAAAAACCCAACAAAAACTTAACAACTTTTCCTTTAAAAAACAAAACTTTGGGATCCCTTGGTGGCTCAGTGGTTAAGTGCCTGCCTTCAGCTCAGGGCATGATTCTGGAGTCCCAGGATAGAGTCCCCCATCAGGCTCCCTGCATGGAGCCTGCTTCTCTCTCTGCCTCTGTCTCTGCCTGTGTCTCTCATGAATAAAAATCTTAAACAAAACAAAAAACGTTTTTACTTTGTATCTATTTTTCATGAGTCTAAATTGGAATGAGAATCAACTACAATGACTAAATTTAAAAAAGCAAGGAAACTAGCACACCCCCCTACACCTTTGAAGGTGACAAGTCCTAAACCAGTCTCCTCCAAAGAGGTTAAAAGAGTGAGAGATTTTTTATGTAAACTATTAAACAAAACTTTAAAAACTTGGGGCAGCCCTGGTGGCTCAGTGGTTTAGCGCCGCCTTCGGCCCAGGGTGTGATCCTGGAGACCCAGGATCGAGTCCCACTTTGGGCTCCCTGCACAGAGCCTGCTTCTCCCTCTGCCTGTGTCTCTGCCCTTCTCTTTCTGTGTGTCTCTCATGAATAAATAAAATCTTTAAAAAAAAAATAAATTAAAAAAAACTTTAAAAACTTGATTCTAAGAAATGTTCTAGAAAAACCACCACTAAACAGTACTCAAATGAGAAAAAAACAGACCTTAAAAACCCTTAAAATATCCAAGCATGAATGTCTCTCTCCACCTTAAAATAAGTTTTACAGCAGGCTCAATCAGAAGAGCATGCAACTCTGATTTCGGGCTCCTGAGTTAGTGCCCCATGCTGAGGATAAAGATTACTTAAACAAACATAAATTAAAAATAAATAAAAATAAGAACTAGAATGTTCGTAGCAAGCATCAACAAAATGAACCCTTATCGGCCAGATCCTTCTGGGGACTAAAAGACCTACTAAAGTTTTTTTCCAACTGAAATAACGGATTCATAATATTCATCTTGTAAACTTATTCAAGTCATTAGTTCAAGAAGATCCCCTAAATAACTTGCAAGATGGCATTTATTTTAAAGAGATTTATCTAGTCTCTTCAAAACACACGTTGAAAGTAGCATTCTTGTAACTTAGACTGCTTTTTTTGGTTTATTATTAACACTTTTCACCTGAGTTTTTTTTTAAGATGTTATTTATTTATTCATGAGACAGAGACAGAGAGAGAGGCACAGAGACACAGGCAGAGGGAGAAGCAGGCTCCATGCAGGGAGCGGGACATGGGACTCGATCCCGAGTCTCCAGGATCACACCCCGGGCTGAAGGCGGCGCTAAACCGCTGAGCCACCGGGACTGCCGCTTCATCTGAGTTTTTAATCTATTTACCTAACAACTCTTATCTTTATTTAATGTGCCCTACCAAAAGTATATTTCAAGTCATTTAAAGCTCGGTATTTCTTAGTGAAAAAATACTTTATTTGGCTACATTAGTCTATTAACAGTTGGTAGCTTCTCAAAGAATTTATTCTCGACTCATGGAATTTCAAAGTATAAAAGGCATTTTAAGACTGACAATCCTGGGGGGGGGGGAGACAATCCTGCTAACGTTATTTGGAACAGATATTGCAAAGGGAAAAACAAAAGCTACCTCACATAGATCGAAATATTTTGTTAGACAGCACGGGGGAAGGGGGAATCCTAATATTCTGGTAGTTCCCTCTTACATGGTATTACTGTGTTCTTGAGGCTTGCTCTCCATCAACCAGCTGCAGTGTATCCTTTACTAATCCATTTAGAGGTCCAGCACAACATACTCACCATTAGTATCATTTTATTAAGTAAACCTTTGAGAGTGTTACTTTTCACAGGAATTAAAGTTGTTACCCTTCAACTACTCCATACATGTATAAACTTTTAGGGAGCATGTAGTACCAAAAAAACCTATAAAACCGAAGGTTCTCCCATCTGCAAAGAGAAAGCTTTTCCTAAGACTGTAAGGCCTGGAAACGGGAGTGCCAAAAACTTTCGTTCGTCTAAAAATCACTAAGCTTCGCTTTTTACCACAAACTAAAATTGCCCAGAAAACCAAAAACAAAAAACCAAAAAAAAAAAAAAAAAAAAAAAAACTGTCTACCCAACGTAAACAAATTTAAGCTCTTAAAAACAAGAGGGCAATCACGTACCTATTTCACCTTTAATTAAAACAGGATCGTGAAACCTCACCTCCAGTCTAACGCTGAACACAGAAAACGTCCCCAAGGATCTTTCGATTCGACACGTGCGAACTACCTGCTCAAGGCTAACTCCTCGCGACCACGGGCAAGGCTGGGTCTTGGCAACCTTCGCTCTTGGCAAAAGCTTGGAGTTGGGAGGCCTGGGAAGACCCGTTCCCAAGAAATCACGAGAGAGCGGGGGAAGTTGTGATGACGTTGTGACCTCCCCGCAGTGGCCAAGCAGTACCTGTCGCTCGCGGCGGAAGGCCGCGTGCTGCTCTGCGAGGAGCGCCGCCGGCCTTCGGGGAGCGCCCCCCGCAGGTGCACCTGGCCCGGGGCCCGGGCCCGGCGCCGGAGCCACAGAAGCGGACTGCCCCAGCCGAGCGGTCTCCAGGAGGCTCCGCACCGCCCACAGCTCCCGGGGGCTGAGGCCTACCGCTAAGTTGAGGAGTGAGAGCAACCGGGGCCGGCAAGCGAGGAAAAGTGGGGCTTCCGGCGCGGGGAAGCCGAGGGCCGGTCCGAGGCGGGGAAAGAGGACATCTGGAGGTAAAATGTCCTCCGCCCGCCAACGGTAACCGGAACAAGGATACCAGACCTCCCACCGCAAGAGCGAACGCCCGCCGCGGCGGCGGGGAGAAGGCCGAGGGGGCCCAGGGCGGGGGAGGGGAGGGGAGGGCGGCCTCGGCCTCCCCGCGGGGCGACCTTCCCCCGGCCGGCCGGCGCACTCACATCGTGAACGGGGCGGGGGGCCGGGCGAGCGGGTGGGCGGGCCTCTCCGGCGGCAGCTGCCGGGCAGTCGACTCTCCTCCGGTGGCGACTCGGCGCTTTCTTCCCGGTCGCGGCCTCTCCTCGCTTCCCTCAGGCGACGGCGGGCTCGACCCGGGTCCCCAGAATGCACTGCGCGGAGAGAGCGGCTCCTCCGGTCGCGGAGAAGAGGAAAGTGTAGGAATCGGGGCGCGAGGACGGAGGATGAACGTGCGTGCGTGCGAGCGAGGGGTGGTGAGGCCGGGCGGCGGCTGGTGACGCAGCAAAATGCCCGGGCCCTGCCGCCGCGCGTGCGCACTCTTTGTTTTCGGGCTCCTGCGCGGTTTTCTAGAGATATCTACGGAAAGGGCGGGGCCTCCCAGCTCCTTCGCGAGCCTTCCCGGCGCTGGCCCCGCCCCGCGCCGGCTCCGTCCCGCCCGGCTCGTTCCCGCCTCTGCTCCCGCGCTCCCCCCTCGCCGTAGGAAGCCGTTGGCGGCCAACCGCTCGGCCGCGCGCCCGGGCGCCGTCCCCGAGACCCGGCTGTGCTGGCGGCGGGAGGAAGGCCGAAGCGGAGGGCCCTGCTTCCCCTGGACGGAGCGAGCTGGTCCCCGGAGGCACGGAAGGCCCGGGCCGGGGGTGCCGCGGGCAAGGCCGGCCCCGGGACGGTCGGAGAGCCTCTCGAGGGGCGCTGCGAGTTCGAGGTGTTCGGCGGAGGAGGGACGTCTGGCCCTGGGGCGGGCACGTGCCCTCGCTCCGAGACCGCTCGTGCCGGCGGGGGCGGGCGGCCTCCCCGCGCGTCGTGGAGCGGGTTCCGCGCTCGAGCTCAGCCGTTGCTCGTGGAACTGCCCCTTTGTCCCTTGGACCTGGTTGGGCCCTGATGAGGGGTAGGAACCCGGGGAATGAAAGCAGTCCTGCGTCCCCCCGAGAGGGGCCCCGAACGGCGCAGCAAGGGGAACAAAGGGAGCCCGGGCGTCCTAAGACGTTTGGGGGAAGTACCGGCTTCACAGCGTTAAGGACCCGGGGATTCGTGCTGTGCAAGGCGGTGCCGGGAACCGCAGACCGTGGGCACCACGCGCAAATCTTCGTTTCAAAGGGGTGCCAGGCCCCAGCTTTACGATACTATGATTTTCAGGAACCTACTGCCTGTTGGGGAGAGCAAAATACACCCAAGATCGAGTGCTCTAACGGAGGCCCAAAAAGTAATGGGAGCATAAAAGGAGGAGAGGCCCATATTGACTGGAAGGATTAGCACAGGCCTTGTAAAAAAAAAAAAAAAAGAAATAATAATAATCCCAAACATGGAAATAAAGCAAGGAGTCGAGGGATGACCTTTCACTTCATACTGGGACTTGGTTTAACCTGCCTCCCCAAGGATTGTTCTCTAGGCGAAGGTGCCTATATTTGACTTCGCTACTTTTAAAAATATTTTGAGAAAGCGCTCGAGGGGGGTCGTGTTGAGGCAGAGGGAGAAGCAAACTCCCTGCTGAGCTGGGAGCCTGACACCTGGCTCTGTCCCAGGACCCTGGGATCATGACCTGAGCGGAAGGCAGCCGCATCACTGAACCACCCAGGTGCTCTGGACTTCCCTGTTTATAATCTGATTAAACCTCAAAATTTGGGGGATCCCTGGGTGGCGCAGCAGTTTGGCGCCTGCCTTTGGCCCAGGGCGCGATCCTGGAGACCCGGGATCGAGTCCCACGTCGGGCTCCTGGTGCATGGAGCCTGCTTCTCCCTCTGCCTGTGTCTCTGCCTCTCTCTCTCTCTCACTGTGTGTGTGACTATCATAAATAAATAAAAATTAAAAAAAAAAAAGAAACCTCAAAGTTTATGAGTGATAAAAAAGCTAACCCTGAAGTTACGTGTTTGTGTGTGTGTGTGTGTGTGTGTGTGTGTTTTAAGATTTTATTTATTCATGAGAGACACAGAAGTAGAGACACAGGCGGAGGGAGAAGCAGGCTCCATGCAGGGAGCCCGGCTTGGGACTCGATTCCGAGTCTCTAGGATCACGCCCTGGGCTGAAGGCGGCACTAAACCGCTGAGCCATCCGGGCTGCCCCAAAGTTACGGTTTTATTGCTCTGTATAATACTCACCAGTTTTGTTTAACCTGCAACCTCGTTCTCTTTTCATTTTTTTTTTGGGGGGGGGGGCTGGCTTTTTAAGTGCTCCTGTAACCAGCTTTATCATCTTACTAGTGCCATCAATGCGGTAAATAAATGTTTGGCTCCTGTTAATTCTATATTTGTAGGAGAAGGGGATCCCTGGGTGGCGCAGAGGTTTAGCGCCTGCCTTTGGCTCAGGGCGCGATCCTGGAGACCCGGGATTGAATCCCACGTCGGGCTCCCGGTGCATGGAGCCTGCTTCTCCCTCTGCTTATGTCTCTGCCTCTCCCTCTCTCTCTGTGTGTGTGTGACTATCATAAATAAATAAAAATTTTTAAAAAATGCTTTATATTTGTAGGAGAAGTATGTGTTTTTTTCGGGGGGGGATTACGTTTTTAAATTTTTAAAAAGACTCTTGACAGTCTCAGAGGTGACAGCAGGAATGAGTGGGAGGAGTACATTTCAGGCAGGAATCTTGAAGGTGAAGATCTAGGTCAGGGTTTGGCCGACTTTCTGTAAAGGGTGAAATAAAGTTACAAGGTCTTTGTTGCACCTTTTGAACTCTGTTATTGTAGCATGAAATCAACCATAGAACGTGACCTCAGGGTGGGTCCTGGGATCAAGCCCTGTTTCAGCTCTGCTTGAGATTCTCTCTCCCTCTCTCTCTGCCCCTCCCATGGCTCTTGAGCTCTCCCCGCCCCCTCTAAAAATAATCTTAAAAAAAAAATTAGGGGCCCCTGGGGGGCCCAATTGCTTAAGTGTCTGCCTCGGCTCAGGTTGTGATCCCAGGGTCCTGGGATAGAGCCCCGAGTTGGGCTCCCTGCTCAGCTGGGAGCTCCTTCTCCCTCTCCTCCCTGCTCCTGCTCTCTCTCAAATAAAATCTTGGGACATCTGAGTGGCTCAGCGGTTGGGCGCGCCTTCGGCTCAGGATATGATCACGGGGTCGGGGGGATGGAGTCCCGCGTCGGGCTCCCTGCATGGAGCCTGCTTCTCCCTCTGCCTGTGTCTCTGCCTCTCTCTCTCTCTCTGTGACTATCATAAACAATAAAAAAATAAAAATTTAAAAAAACAAAATTAAAAATTGATAGTATCCCAAATTTAGTCTGCGGGCTATAGTTTGCCACTCCCCTAACCTGGGATAGCCCAGAGTGTGGGGAATAATTCAAGACAAGGTTTAGAAGTAGATCACAACCAAGAAATGGTGGTACTGAGATTCCGGTTAATTGCTCTCAATTTATTTCTCTGACAATGGAAAGGTGTTGAAGGTTTTTTTTTTTTTTTTTTTTTTTTGGAGAGGAGTAACACTCTTGTGTTCTAGATAGATTAATTTGGTAACATATGATGAAGTGAAAATGGAAGAACTGAATTGAAGATAGCATTTAAAAGACTGCAGCCTCAAATAGCTGGCAATTTCGTTTATCAAAAGAAGTCCTATGGGAAAAACTGACTTTCACACAAAAAATTTTTGGAAATTAAGGCCCATTGTGCCCTAATTCATAGTTTGTTTTTTATATTACTATTCTCACTGGATCTATTTCAGGGGATTTCATGTTAGTGTCGGTCTGGAAATGGCTTTCTCACCCTTTGCAATAAGATTTATTCTTTTACATGTTACATCAATCATTAGCTGGTAGTGACCCAAGTTGTACCAGGTTTCTTTTTTAAACTCACAAGTTCTGTTTCTAGTAGGAGGCAAAATCTAGATTCAAACATGTATAATTATAGTGTCAGGGCTTTTGGGAGAGAAATCTACAACCCAAAATGACAGGAACTGGAAAACACTTGGCAAGTACTAATTCCATCTCCTGGGTTTAATCCTAACAATCCCTAAGAGAAAGCCAATTAAAAAGAAATTAGTAAAAGCAAATGAAAACAATTTGTTAATTATAATTGTAGTATAAATCTTCTTTCTAGTATTTTTAAAGATTTTATTCATGGAAAAAATTAAAATTAAAAAAAAAAGATTTTATTCATGAGAGACACAGAGGCAGAGACATAGGCAGAGACATAGGCGAGACTTGATCCCAGGACCCCAGGGTCATGATCTGAGCCAAAGGCAGATGCTCAACCACTGAGCCATGCAGGCACCCCTAAAGATTTTTTTCTTCCTTTTTTCTTTCCAAATATTTTATCTATTTATTCATGAGAGGCAGAGAGAGAGGCAGAGATACAGGCAGGGGGAGAAGCAGGCTCCTCACAGAGAGCCCAACTTGAGACCCGACTCCGGGTCCCCAGGATCGGATCAGGCCCTGGGCTGAAGGCGGCACCAAACTACCAAGCCACCCGGGCCGCCCTCCCTAAAGATTTTTAAGTTATCTCCCCACACAATGTGGGGCTCAAACTCAACAACCCTAAGACCAAGGGTCGGGTTCTTTACCAACTGAGCCAGCCAGGCATTCCTCCCTGATGTTTTTCTGAGGACTAAATTTTAATGTGGGTTCCACAGACACTACTAGCAAAAAAGAACCATAATCTAGAAGATTGACATGAGCACTTAAAAAATTAAAACAAGTGAGAACGATAAGATTTATGAGGGGATTTTCTAATAAGAATTTAGACTGGCAGCCGGGTCGCTTAGCGGTTTAGTGCCGCCTTCAGCCCAGGGCCTGATCCTGGAGACCCGGGACCCAGTCCCACGTCGGGCTCCCTGCATGGAGCCTGCTTCTCCCTCTGCCTGTGTCTCTCTCGCTTAATTCTCTCTGTCTCTCGGGAATAAATTTAAAAAAAAAAAAAAAAAAGAACTTAGGTTGTTGGGACACATGGGTGGCTCAGCGGTTTGGTGCCCACATTTTGGCCCAGGTGTAATCCTAGAGTCTTGGGATCGAGTCCCACATCAGACTCTCTGCATGGAGCCTGCTTCTCCCTCTGCCTGTGTCTCTGCCTCTCTGTCTCTCATGAATAAATGGATAAAATGTTAAAAAAACAAAACAAAACAAAACAAAAAACGGGACACCTGAGTGGCTCAGTGGTTGGACATCTGCCTTCAGCCCAGGGCGTGATCCTGGAGTCCTGGGATCGAGTCCCGCATCGGGCTCCAAGCATGGAGCCTGCTTCTCCCTTTGCCTGTGTCTGTCTCTCTCTGTGTCTCTCATGAATAAATTAAAAAAAAAAAAAACTTAGGTTGTTAATTTTGTATTTGTGAGGCAAAGTAGTAATCTGTTCTAGGTATAAAGAATAAGAAATTGGGTCATAATCATCTAGCTAAATATCACATATAGCAACTTAAATTACTTTATGTTCTCTGATGCCATCATCTTCCCCCTGTTTGCAATCATACCCTATTAGTCTGGTTTGGCTATAATGGGAAGGATTAAAAACAAGTGTGTTTCATGTTGAGCTTTTTCCTATTCTGAGTTTTGCTACCATTTTGTGGGCTGATAAAAGCATGAACAGCTCTAGGAGAATGAAGAGGTTAGCTCTTTAAAAAGCCGATCTTACTTTTTAAAATGAAATATATTTGGGGATGCCTGGCTGGCTCAGCTGGTGGAGCATGTGACTCGATCTCAGCTTCATGAGTTCAAGCCCTACATGGGGCATGAAGCCTACTTAATTAAAAATAAAAATAAAATGAAATATATTTAAATTCTCTAAAAATGGTATTCCATTCCAAATACTACCTTACAGTATATATACCTAGAGTTCATAGTACAGGAAATGAGACTATAAAACGAGTGATATGAGTGATACATGCTATTTCTATGTAAATTAGCAATATTCTCTGGGATCAGAAGAAATCAGGTAAAATTTGAAGAAGGAAATCAGGGAGAGGGAGAAGCAGGGTCCCCTCTGAGCAGGGAGCCCAACACGAGGCTGGATCCCAGGACCTTAGATCATGACTTGAGCCAAAGGAGACAACCAACTGAGCCACCCAGGTGCCCCCACCCCACCCCCAGTTTTTAAGATTTTATTTATTTGACAGAGACAGAAATCTTTAAAAAAATAATAAAAATAAAATCTTGGGATGCCTGGGTGGCTCAGTGGTTAAGCATTTTCCTTCGGCTCAGGGTGTGATGGAGAGTCCCAGACCAAGTCCCACATCGGGCTCCCTGCATGGAGCCTGCTTCTCCCTCTGCCTGTGTCTCTGCCTCTCTCTCTCTCTCTCTGTGACTATCATAAGTAAATTTAAAAAATAAAAATAAAAAAAATTAAAAAAAATTAAAAATAAATAAAAATAAATAAATAAAATCTTTTAAAAAAAATAGAGCATTTTCCAGACAGAAAATCTAGCATATGTAAAGCAGGGGCAATGGAATTTTATAAGATCTGTGCAAAGTATATTGTGACTGGAGCTTAGGAGACACTGTAGGTAAAGTAGAATGGTGAGAGTTAAGGCTAGAGCGGTGGATCCAGGCCAAATGGTAAAGGGACCAAATGGCTGCTTAAGGAGTTTGAACTTATGTTGGCAACAAAGAAGTTTTTTTTTTTTTTTTTTTTTTAATTTATGATAGGCACACAGTGAGAGAGAGAGAGAGGCAGAGACACAGGCAGAGGGAGAAGCAGGCTCCATGCACCGGGAGCCCCACGTGGGATTCGATCCCGGGTCTCCAGGATCGTGCCCTGGGCCAAAGGCAGGCGCCAAACCGCTGCGCCACCCAGGGATCCCAACAAAGAAGTTTTTAATAGGACTGATGCTATTGTGGGTACACAAGTTTCTTGAGTGTCATATTTGTCTCTTGTGTTTCTAATGCCAGACACATATGTGTCTGGCAAAAAATGTTTGTAGAATATAATTTACCATCTGGAGTGGAGAAAGACTGCAGACAGACTAGTTATGATAGTTTAGGCAAGAGCTTAGAAAAAAAGCTCACTCAGAATTTTGATAAATTTCTGACCTTGAAAACCAATTAGAAACGGGGAAGAAATGAGGTTTCTACTTGGGGAGTTTCAGTAAAAATTCAACACCATCAGCTGAGACTGAAAGGGACAAATATAGGAGTAAAAAACATGATAACTATATTGTATATATTTAGTAGTCAAGGGAAAGGTTTTTATTTTTTTTTGGCTTGTTTAAGAATTAGGAGGATTTTTATTTTTTTTAAAGATTTTATTTATTTATTGAGAGAGAGAGAGAGGGGCAGGGTCACAGGCAGAGGGAGAAG